TAATTTGAAAAACTGACATGGAATTGAGTTTGATCATTGCACCCTGTGGAGCACAGAAGATATGAAAGGACTGTGATCTCCGAGATGCTGAACCAGAGGACTGTTGGCTAAGACTTCCTGGAAACAGTACATTGATATGGACAGCACGTTCCAGGATCTAATCTTCAGGACTCACAGTCAAGAAACACCATGTAAGGGCCTCCAAATGTAATCAGATTCTATGGGACTGTTGGATGCTAACCAAACTTACGTGAAGCACAATGCCAATAATCACGGGGCTTGTAAAGCTCAGGTGAGCTGATGAGTAAGTACACTGTCTTCCTAAAGACACACTAGGTAGATGTGTGCTTGGTCGGCTTGGAGCCAGAGCATCCAAGAGCTGGTGGACCTCACTTGCCAGTTTTATCTGGCTACAGATCCATCTCTACAGACTAGATATTCGTGTTCTTACATTGGGACACGCTCTTCCTTCAACAGGAGACAACCCAGCAAATTCTTACCTACTGAACTACTTTTTAAAGAAATACTACATAGGCTATCCCTTCTGTTGATGCAATCTTTTTTATACGGTTTAAGACAAATGATTCAGCAGAGCTAATGGTTTTTTTTCCTGCTAGTCTAGACCACACCTTGTACCTGGCTATCACCCCTACGTATCATCCATAATGATTTTGATGTGCTTTACTAGGAGAACAATGCAGGAATTGGTTGAATTATGTAACATAGTTAAAAATATCAACATAACCTAATTGAAGCTGATATGATTAAAGACTAAAGAGAATAATAATGTCCTTATTAAAATAGTTTACACATGATTTAAATTTTTAAAATTTTTTTGATAAAAATTAACAATTATTTTGTAAATTCAGAAAGATATAATCAGCATATTTTTAAAAAATCATACAAAATGCCACCACCCAAAAATAACATCGTGGCAAAATAATTCCTAGTCTTTTCTACACATATTTTGTTCATATAGGTTTACAGCCTATCTGATATACAATTCTATATCCAGTTTTTTCACATATAACATAAATATCATTATAACACAACATAACACAAATAAATTCTAATGTTACTAAAACTTCATATTAGAGTGGCTAAATGGAATGCCATCTGAAAGCAGAGGTTGCAAGCTCAAATGGCTTTGAGAATCAGGTAGATAACTAAAATGTGGAATGTATGGATTTAAGACATAGTGGATGGTAACAGAAAATGCATACTCCACCAACGGCATTCAGATTTCGTGTTATTTTTAAATATGTGCTGACAAAATCAAATGGAGAGAATAAGCAAGCCACAGAAGAATACATGCAGTAGAATACTATTTATATTGTTTCAAAACAGGTAAAACAATTCCATATTACACTTAGAGATACACTAGGAAAACACATGTAATGAAAGTTTTAAAGAGTAAAGCAGGGAATGCAAATCACCAAATCCAGGACAAGATACTGTCAGGTGGAAGGAAGTAATGTGAGCCCAAGGGTATCAAAGTGAGATAAACAGAAGGGATTTTAAGGGTGGAGAAATGTTTAAAGTTAGGTAGTAAGTACATAGATATTGGTTGCATTTCACTGATTGTTTTGCACATATGATTGTACAGTGGCTTTTTTTTTTTTAAGGAAAAAATCCCTGCTAGCTAAAGACAGTTTCACTCTGGAGCTGGCCAGTGGCTGCTAGCTGGCTACCTTAGTCCAACAGGTAATACAGTGTAGTCACCAGGAGCATGGGCTCTGAGGCCGGGCTGCCTGATCAAACATGGAATCTCAGCTCCATCACTAGTTTTCTCCCGTTGGGCAGTTACTAAAATCCTCTGCAAAATAAGGCTCAACGATCAAATCCAGCCGTTTGCCAATTTTTACAGAACCCTCCGATTAAGAATGATTTGTACATTTTTAAGTGGTTGGAAGAGCTGCCCTAGACCACTGTCACCGAACTGTGAATGGCTTTGGAAATCAGCTTTTGCTGCAGGCTTGATAATGTTTCTCAATGAATTAAACCTAAAGCTATAAAGCGAAGCAGCGCTCATACACCAAACGTATACTGTAGTACCGTCATTTCAACAACTAACATTGTCTGAATCACAAGCAGTCTCAAGCTGGTTTATATACTTGGCTGTGCTATTAATAAGCTAAAAACAAGTTTACAGTAGATACATTTTCTGAGTTCAAACAACAGTTTCAAGTGTCTTTTGGACTTGGATGTAAGTGCAAAGAAAATTTCCACATCTCAAAATCCATTTATCTGTGCAACTGAGGGGCTTCTACCTAAACTTCAATTGAAAGCAATTAATCTGCAATGAAATGACATGCTAAAAGGCAAATATCAAAAGAAGAATTTAACAGAACTGTATAAATGTCTTCCAAGCAATGAATATGCACGATTAAAACCATCTGCTCATGAACTGATATCAGTATTTGGCAATACCTATGGAAATAAAACTTCAAAGGTATTTTCAAAGATGAAAATACATACAATTCATTAAAAAGCAGCATTTTCAGATGAGCATTGGCTACTGATTTTGATGATAGGGAACACCAACTTTGATTTCCAGAGGTAAGCAAAATGCTACCCTTCCCCTCAAAAAGAATTCTGTCTTCCCCTTAATAATAATTAACATTACAATAATGTACCAATTCTTATGGTCTGAACTCCATCAATATAAATTTTGTGTAAATTTGTTTTTCTTGCTATATAAATACCTACATAATATTATGAATTTTGCATCTTGGTCTTTAAAGTCTAAACTATTTACTACCTGGCTGTTTACTGAAGAGGTTTGCCAACCCCTGTCATAGAATGATTGTGAGGGTTAAATAAAATAATCCTTGCGGAAATAATTAGTAACAATCTGGCATGTAGTAAGCGTGCTTTTTATTTTCCTTATCTGTCATCTAATTTGGACATATAAATTGTTTCTGTATTTTAAAAATTATAAGTAGGGAAACTTTTAATACATTAAATACTGATGTGCATACATATTTGTCCACATCTTGGATTAGGTTATGTTCCTAGAGGCAGGTTGATTTCAAATTGAAGTAAACCTTTAAACAAAAGTTATTTCATCTTATCCATACCAGTTATTTGCCCAGGCAACTGGATAACTTTAGACCAAAGAGACTACAATTCCTGCACTTGTCTTCCTGGAACGTTCCACTTTAGGATTTTGACTCCAGGGAGAGATAGCCATTTGTGACGTTCGTTCATTTGTTTAATAGGCAGTTATTAAATATCTACTCTATGGGCACTTAATAGGTGCAAATAAAGATAAATTTAGACAAGCTTTCTGCCCCCAGGGAGCTTCAACAAACTATCCCTGGGCTACGTGGGAAGCCTCACCCCAAATATGAGACCACAGGATGAAGGAGGAGGTTCTAAGGAAAGGAAATACCAAGGTGCTGCTATAAATGAAGGATAGACAGTTGTTAGGCAGACAGAATATCACATCACCACACTTCTCCAGTTCTGTGAGTCAATACAATCTTTTTTTTTTTTTTTTTTTTTTTTTTTTTTTTTTGCTTAGCCTGGTTAAAAAGGGTGTGTTCTTTGCAGTGGTAAAGAACTGTAACCAATTTGGATCGATGAAAATTTAACTGGCAGAAAAGGAGAAGGACAAGCAGTTTAGTTAAAGGGACTGGGCTTGGCATAGGCACAGAGGCAGAAAAACGCAGCGACCACCCAGGGAAATTAAGAACGAGAACCAAGCCTGGCAATAAAGCTTGGTCAGATTATGGGAAGTCTTAAAAGGCTGTTTACAGAGCGTACAGGTTTTAGTGTTGCATTGCTGCAGTTATCCTCAGGTCTCTGGGAAGATGAAGGCAATGATTTTTCTCCTCTGATTCAGAAGAAGTGTATTTTGAAGTAGGGTTGCCTTCAGATATTCCAGTGAAGTAAGTGACGAGTAAACCATGAGTTTTTTTTTTTAACATTACATTATTAACATACTTCAGAAATAATTGCACCTACCTGTACTCATCAGGGGACATTCCTAATGCCTTTTCATTAGTAACAATGGTAGACTTGATCCTCAGGGGCTAGAAAACCTGTGACTGCATGCTTGCCTTCCCCCTCCCACCCACTCGCCAAAGACATAGACGGGTACCAGAAGTCATGTGGGATAAAGATGTGGCTGAACCTTGTCACACTGTGAGTGAGGAAACCAACCCATTTGAGGAACTCATAACATTCTTGAAACTTACTAAATTCTGCCACACTGTATAAAAATGTTTCTAATGTCTAAAGTGGGGGGGTGAATGGAGATTTTTAAGCAGGCAGCATTTCTAAATGTTTCTGTAGAAACCATCTTTAGGAAGATAGGTAGTATGCACAAATTTTAAATTTATGGACAAATAAGTCTGTGAAACACTGGTTAAAATGAAGTGAAACAGGCTTCCTTTCCTAAGGGAGTTACCAGACCCTTTATCATGCGATTACACATTTGTGACTCCATAAGATGATGATAAACCATGCACTTATCAATCTCACTGACCTCCTGTCCTTTTTCAAAGGAGTATCTTGCATTCCTAGTAGGGGTTCTGTGGAATACACTATGGGAAACACTGGAGTAGTTTATGGGGCTATAAAATTATAATTGAACTCTGGGATCACAGATATGCTTTAGGCTTATTGGTCTGAGATACAAGCCAACAAAATGAGCTAGCTGTCCAGGGAAATACAGTCCAGGTGATAAAAGTGACTACAGGAACATACATTGTGAAGATAAAACAATCAGGACTTCACAACTGAATGGACATAAGCAACAAGGAAAGGAACTGAGTGGTATGGAGTCATAGATATTCAAACTTACACATTTGGTTGGCTAGGAAAATGAGAGTGCTTTTCATAGAAATTGGGACACTTGAGTAGGATTTGAGTAAATTCATCGAAGGAATAAAAGACACATTTAATTTTGCAGGGAAGACAGCTGAGCCTCTGATCATTAGAAGTCTGCTTACTCTTCCCTCCCATAGGACTTTCCTCCTTCCCTTTCTTTTCTCTTTTTAGGATTTCCTGTATGTATTCAGTGTCAAGTTTGCAGGCACAGCTTGAGCGAGATAGAAAAGTGACCGTGATCTCCTTGAGTTAGACAATCATCTAAATTCAAAAGCACTCACAAAATTGAGCAAGGGAAGCCAGGATCTGCATATTAGGGGAAAGGAGACATATTACAAATGGAAGTCACAGGCTTGGACAAAAATAAAGGTTTTATCTCAAGTCGGAAAATAAAAGGAGGATTCTACCCCCAGACCCGCACCTTGGTGAGGACCCACGGGTTACTGCAGCTGTCCTTTCTTTTCTTCTTGTCGAGTTATCCCTGTTAGAGTTAGCTTTACCACCAAATCTGGCCATTGAGGGAGATTCCTTGGCTTTTTCTTCTGTATCCTTAATGGGCATTCTTTTTTAGAGTTTTAGTTTGTTAAGTAGAGGAAGCAAATATTCTAATAGGACTTCACCTCAACACATTCTAGTCAGTTGCTTAGTATGATCCAATAAACAAGGGGCAATAAAAACAAAAAGGAAGTTACCATGGCTTTTTAAAAACTTACAGAATTATCAATTTTTTTGGCCATTTTTTGTATTACTCTTAGAAAATTCATCTATTTTAGAATAACAACACGCTATAATGGCATTAAATTAAAATTCATTTTGCACCCTAACGTACGGATTTTTAATACCATGGACTACTCTTGGGAAAACTTACTAGTCCCTGGTTCAGGTAATTTCATTTAAAGAGGTTTACGTTGGTCCTTGCTTCTATACTACAGTCTTTGTGACATTAGGAAGATGGTGTAACTTGGACACTAGCGCAGATGTTAAGAACAAGGAGAATTTAGACATCCATTGACTCAAATTTAAAACAGTGGAGCATTTACATGAACAAGGTTCTCTTGTCAAACAAAAACAGTAATTTTCTTTTTTCATATCATTTTCTTTTTTTTCTGGCACATACAGACTGTTATTCAACCAAGGCCCTCCTCCTGATGACCCCAGGGGAAAACTGCGTCCTCTTCCTCTTGTGCCCTTTGTGCCAAACTTTTGTTCCTTCATTTACAAATCTCAGCCTTCTTTCCCTGAAGCTAAGGAAAATGCTTCAAATGTGTATTTAATGTTGTCTCATCTCCTAGGGTTAGATAATCAAACCTGCCTGCCCCATTTATGCCTGTTGCCTCAGAAAAACTGACAATCCCCTTTTCTACACTCAAGTGCCCTGGTTTGCACAGTAAATATGGCCATCATATGAACCATCCCTCAATTTTCTCTTCTCTTTTCCTAACTCTCCACTTTCAATTTTAACCAAGTTTATAATTTAAAGTATAGAATTAAAGGTTAAATGGGAAAGAACTGAAGAAGTCATCCAGTCCTATTTCATACTTGACAGGACTTAGCCTCTATCTGAACTTTTGGCAGTTAATTCATTACTTGCGAGGTGGTATTTTCCATTATTAGGAATCTGTCTCTAAGTTTTATGAAAATTCTTCTTACCGTCCGTCTTAATTTTGTTACTCTTCCTCAATCTAAAACTCTCTGCATATAGGTTTGGGCTTCCTTCTCAACCATGGGTTATCACAATGCCCAGCCTAAGGCATCCATCACACATTATGAATTAACTTCTCTTCCGATATCTAGAATACTAGTGACATACTATCTTTGGGAGAATTGAGAAAATAGTCACTCAAGTCATTTTTTTGTGTCACATGGTTCAAATAAGGAAGCTGGGACTTAATGGCTACAAGGCTCTATCATTTACTAGCGGTATGACCTTGGGAAGTTTTCTTCATCTCTTTGTGCCTTGGTTTCTTGGCAATGGAAGGAAAGTATAATGCCTTTATTATGAGCTGTTGTGAGAATTAAATGACATATATAAAGCTCCGTAAGAGCAGAGAACTTACCTATCTTGTTCACCGTTATTCTAAGGTAGTAGCAGGCACAGAGTAAGTTCTTAAGTTCTCAATATCTGCATAAACAATGAATAAAAAGCACACTTCCTTGCACACAGCACTCAATAAAAGGTAGCTATTATTATTCTTTCAAATCTCTCTCTTATGACCTGGTTTGCAGACCTCTCACTGTATTAATCACTCTCTTATGGAAGCTCTCTCGTTTTTCCATAGTTTTCTCAAAAATGTCATTTTCAACAATTGTTGGGTGTGTGTAATTTTGCTTTATCTGACCATAAGTACAGAGAAGAGTCCACTGGGGAAACCTGCTTACATGAAGAGTTGGCACTGACAAAATCCACTCACTTTCCCCCAATACCACCCTTTAAAACCTGGGGAAACGTATAACTAAGACAATAAAAATATTAGCAGATAAGGAGTGATCAGCCAGGTGTAAGAACCAAGGTGGTGCAGTATTATGGAAAACCACTGCAACCGGGGCTCTTTTTCATCCCTGCACCTAATGAAGTCTCCAGTGTGGTGATTGCCTGTTGACTTATTAGCCTCTCCTTCAAGAGAACACTTCTTGAGCTCCTTGATAGCAGGACTAAATGTGAATTTCATCCACAGTACTTAGTGGGAAGACCTTCAAATATTGTTGACGGATTGAATGGGGAAAGACAAACAAGAAAGTTCAAGGAAGATGCTAGAGTGAATGGATAAGCAGTTTCCTAAAAATGAGACTTAAGGCCAAGGTTTCCAATTTTTGTATATTTTGGGACAACAGATTCGCATTAAGGAAGCCAGGATTGCATGTGAATAATAGAATGACAAGTGTAAGTGTAAACATTCATTTGGAACCTTTGGCAAATAAAGAAATGTAACTTCATTTACTAATTCGAAAGAGTAGCAAGGTTTCAGTTTTGCTTTTGTTTTAGTATGGTTGAGACTGAAGTTTGAAGACATTCCTTAAGACACAGTGGAGGACGGAGATGGAAGTAAGTGTTAAGGACAAGATGACAGGATCAGAGTCGGGCCACAGGTGGAAGGTTAAGTCTGAGTAGCAAACCAACAGAAGTAAAGGTAAAAGGAATAGTCTGAGGTAGAAAGGTAAGCCGTTAAGGAAGCTCGAATTACAAGTCTCAAAGAAGGAGAATCTGCCGGGAAGGGAGGTAAGACTTATTAGTGGAAAGAAGAAAACTGTGGGTCCATTGTTGGGAGAGTAAAAGGACGACCGATCTCTGCGAAAGATAATCTAATTAGCTCAGCTTTGTGACTACATCAAAACCCCGCCTCCCTTCTGATCCAATCATCATGGCTATTTAAAACCATCTGACTTGGCGAATGGTAGAACTTTTCCTTTGCGCTCAGTTAGAGTAACAGGACTCCTACGTATTTTTATATTAGAATGAAAAGACGTCCCTCTAAAAATAAGGCTTCAGTAGCACCAGGAAAGGATTTGAGAGAGGCCTTGTTCACAAGCGCATTGAGGAGCGGAGGGAGGTGTCCGTTTCAAGCCGCCAGACGGGCTGCGATCACGCCTCCGAGCGCCGCCAGACGCTGCTGGAGCACACTTCGCAGGAGGTCGAGCTTAGCCCCAGGCGCGGGGTACGGTGAGAAGCGGGCTAGGCGGCTCCGGCTGCGCGCATCCGGCTCCCTTCCCCGTGTAAAGCGGGTCAGGCTCCGGCCGCCCCCAGGCGCCCGACGGCTCTCGCCCCGGACGTTCAGCCGCACCGCCGGCCGCGGAATAAGTTCTGGGAGAACCGCCTGGGGCCTGGTAACGAGGAAGCTGTCTCCGGAGACCATCGCCAACGCTAAGGCCGACGAGCTGAGGTCTCCGAGGGACGAGCGGTGGGACACCCTGCTCCTTCGGTCGCCGGCGGACAGCGACGCATAGTTCAGGGCCATCTTCAAACACTGCCCGCAGTATATGTGTTCCGTCCCTCGGCCGGGGCAGGCCCTTCGCGGCTCCGCGGATCAGTTCGGCCCGTCTCGAACGCGGAGCCCGACCTCCTCAAAAGCCATCACCGGCGCGGCGGCGGAGCAAGAGGCCGCCCGTAACGAGCGCTCCCCTCGCGAGCATGCGCAGTCCCGCAGCGCACGTCGACGCCGCTGGGAGCCGGCGTGATTGACGTTTACGTCGGTGACGCCTGGGGCCGCGCGGACGTGGGGTTTCCGAGAGTGCGCAGTGGGTGCGTCGGCGGCGACCCTTCGGACTTTTTCGGGAGGGGGCGACGCTGAGATGGGGGCGGCGGCAGCCGAAGCGGATCGCACTCTCTTTGTGGGCAACCTTGAAACGAAGGTGACAGAGGAGCTCCTTTTCGAGCTTTTCCACCAGGTAAGCGGCAGGGAGCAGCCTTTTCCTTTCGTTTTTCCGGCCCGCGTAGGGCCCGGCCCAACGGCCGTGGCTGCTTCCTTGGCGCAGGCGGCACCGGCCGTCCGGTCACCCGACAGGTGGGCGGGTTGGAGGCTGGAGGTCGGGCTTAGGAAGTGAGGCGCTCGCTGGGTGTCGCTTTATTAGAAGAACTGTGGTTAGTTCAGGCCGAAGTGACGGCTAAAGGAGGTGGAGGGTCCTCTAGTCTAGCATTCCCGTGGTAAAGATTCCGGGCTTCTAAGGGACCTCGTACGTGTGGGTCCTTCCTTGAGCTGGGCTTTTTCCTCTTCCTGCTTTTCTCATCTTCCCCTTGTAAATTGTGTTTCAGTTTCTTTGCCAGTATCCTTTTCCACTTTAGTTTCTTACAGAGTTGCAGCATTAAAATATTTCAGATTCGCAAATACTCCATAGGAAAGCAGCAATGTAGTATTTCAGTATTAGAATCTGTATTAAAATGTGTTAAAATTTTTAGAGTAGCCTGTCGCCTCCAGTTCTATCCTCCAACAACTGGTAATGTTTGATAGATCGGTACAAAAGTGAATTTTCAGTCCAGGAAAACGCTTTCTCTTGTTCTTGATCAGTCTTAATTTCCATGCAGTGGGAAAATAACGAATGTTGGTCGCCTTGTTAAACGTCTTAAAGTGCTGTGGAATGTAAATCCGGCGAGTGGGTTTCCAGTTCCTTATGGGCTCCCCTCTCCCAAATAAGTTAACCTAATTTTCAGTCATACCTATAGGTCTTAAGCCAAGAGGGAAATTCTTGTGTATCCATTTTTTTTTTTAGAGTCCCTGGTTACATTTTTGTAGTTTTTTCAACTTTGTGATTTGAGTATATTCCTGAAATTGTCTTATTGAAATTCTGAACACTTTTTTGTCTATAGGCTGGGCCAGTAATAAAAGTGAAAATTCCAAAAGATAAGGATGGTAAACCAAAGCAGTTTGCATTTGTGAATTTCAAACATGAAGTATCTGTTCCTTATGCAATGAATCTACTTAATGGAATCAAACTTTTTGGAAGACCCATCAAAATTCAGTTTAGATCAGGTAACTCTTCACTGATGTTGTTTGGGAGAGAGGTTGTTTGTCACTTTGTTTTTGGTTTTAATTTTATTACTCAGTTTTAAGAACCTCTCTTTCGATGAAAATACTTTAAGCTTTGTGAATAGTAAACTTTATATTTCCCTGAAAATGGGTAACATCGACAACATGGATTTTGAAAGCTGTAATTTTAAAAAGAGTTTAAAATTTCAGTTTGGGTTTGTGAAAAGAACATAAACTTTATTGTTAGAATGACTTGGGTTTAAGTTCACGCTCTGAAAGGTGCAACGATTATTTCCTGAAAATGCTTTTCCTGGCTTCTTTGTAGTTTACTTTTACAAATTTTGATTCACGATCATGTGAAGATGAAACTTTCCTTTTATCCGTCTTACAGTTTAGTGTGGGGATCAGAATATTATGGCCAGATCAGATATTTATACATTGGATAGCAACCTTCTTTAGAACCCCTTGTTTTGAATATATCTGCCGTTAAACACTTAGAATTTTCACTCTGATGAACTGTAAAGCCGTCTACTGAAATTTGATGTTTTCTCTTTTAGCCTGTGTCTACCTTTTTGGAGTGATTTGGGCTGAGGGAGACAAAATTTCAAATTATTTTCTATCAATAAGAGTTTCTCTATTTTAGGAAGTAGTCATGCCTCACAGGAGGTCAGTTTGTATCCCCAGCATCACGTTGGAAATTCAAGCCCCGCTTCCACATCTCCTAGCAGGTAATATTTCTCACCTGTTGTAAAAATCATTTATCAGGAGTTTTTCTTTTAGGTAGCGATCTCAGAACAAGAATGATTCGATTCCTTCTTTATGATCCTACCTCTTTACTCTTCTGCTATATTATTTGCTATTTTGGATTATAGTTATATATGTATCTATTCTAAGGGGACCATAGGCACATTATATATAGTCCCCTTAAAATATCTACGTATATAACTATCTTCATTTGTAAAGACATATATCACACCCACATACATGTATATAACTGAAACAAAATTTCTTAAAACATTGCATACCCTTACTACTTGTAGTACACTCTTTTTCATTAAAAAAAATCAGATTAGTTTTATGACCACTAATTGGTTGTTCCTTGCAGTCTCAAAATACGTACTGGTATAAACAGACTACTGGACTAAGAGCTCATAGAATTGGATTCCAGATCTTTCTGTACCAGTGTGTAATCTTGAGCCAATCTCACTTCTCTGGTCCTGTCTTTCCGTTTGTAAGGAAAGGAGGTTGATTTGAATGATTTGTAAAATCCCTCTCAGCTACTGAGGATTAGAAAAGGTGCCAAATTTATATTTATTTAAATAGTTTTATTTGCCTGGGGAGGCTAATACTCTACCAGGGGCAGTTTTTCCTGATATGTCCGTAGAGCTACTTATCAGTCATAATGGGCTTCATTCAGGAAAGAGTTAACAAATAACCTGTCCTGTGTCAGCTTCTTCACCAAGGCCTTTGCGTTTGTGATCTCATGTATTCCTCACAGCAGTCTTAGGAGATAAGGATTATCATCATCTGTCTCTTGTATATGAAGAAAATGAGAGTTGGAGGTTAACTTGCTCAAGTTTGAACTGCTCATAAGCAGTGAACTTGTTTTCAAACCCAGGCTGTGTGAATGAGCACACCCGCATGACATGAGTAGAAAGCGTTTAGAAAGTTTTAACAAAGAGAGATGACAGACGTGAATGAGGACCCAAAAGAGGCCTTGATCAAAATGGAAAATGGAAAGTAGTAGAGGATATTGGCGAGGTAGAGCGGCATCTTTTCTTGCCAGCTGAAGTTAATTACCTCTTTAGGAAGTGAGAAGATTTGAGTCCTTAAAATTAATATTCTGTTTACGTTACAGAACTCTTAATTCCTTACTCCCCAGATTTTTTCCTATTTCCTGTCTCACTAAAGGTCTACCTAATTGCTCAAGCCCCAAATCTAGGTGTTATCCATTATTTCTTCTGTTTCCCTCATCTGTTACATCTATTTGATCAAATCTTTGTCATTTTAGTTCTCAGTCTCAGCCTTTGCACTAGCCCAGGGATTGACAGTCTTGTTTCCTTAAAGGACCGGATAGTTAATATTGTGGGCTTTGCAGATCATGCAGTTTCTTCTCTGCCATTGTAGCGTTACACAGATAGTACAAAAACAAAAGAGCTTGGCTGTGTTGCAGGAAAACTGCTTATAGAAACTGGATTTAGCCCACTGGCTGTAGTTTGTCCACCCCTGCTCTAGCCCTTCCCTCAGCTGGAATATGTGGCCTCAGGTAATCTTGTTATTCAGCCTTCACTTCAAATGCCTCCTTTTTTAGAAAAGCCATCACTGACCAGTCAAGCTAAAATAGAACCCCCCACCTGCTCTGTAGTCATTTATGATTCTGTTATTATAACCATGTGAATTGTCATCTTGTCTGAATCCTTACCCCAGGCCCATGAGAGCAGATACCTTGTTTGTCTTGCTTATTCTTGTCTTTATGTGTCTTACTCATGATCGGTATGTTGTAAACATTAGTTAAATGAATGATTATATGTGGGTTTCCTTATTTTTCACAGGTATGAAAGGACTGCGGATAACATGACTGCATCAGCACAGATAATTAAAAGATCTTTCTCTTCTCCAGAAAATTTTCAAAGACAAGCAGTGGTAGGCTGATTTTTTTTCAGTTTGAGTTGCTTAAAAAAAAAAAGGTTAAAATGTTCATTCTTAATTAATTCTTAAATTAAGTTCCTAAATTTTCGTTAGTGTGATATTTGTAAATTGATCATTCATTTAAGTTTTCACTGGACGGAAATGTATATTTAAGACTGAAAATAAATAGAAGAACTGCATCTCATGTTTGTGTTTTTCTTTAACCTTTGTTGGTATGTTGTGTGTGCTGCAAGTGTTGGAAACGCATTCTCTGATGTTCTTGTAGTCTGTGCTGAGTTACTTATCCATGTACTTAATACTGGAATATCCTGGATTCTTCTAGACCAGCTCCCTCTTGAACTTTCCACTTTTTTCTGTGATAGTATCACCATGAGACTAGGCTTAAAATCTTAGGATCTTTTGCTGTTTCATCTTTGTCTTTGATCAGTCGCCAAATCCTTTTCTTTTTTTTTTCTGCATTTACTTCTTCCTTTTTATTTTCTTTGCCCAAATCGTAATCTTGGCTTGTGGTCTCTAGGCTTTTGTATTTCACAGGTCTGCAAAATAAAAATATAAGAGTGAAATAAAATGAAATTAAGAGACCAATGTAAAGGGATGTCAGCTTTTATAAACATAATATTTATTTTTCTCATTTTGCTGCAGACCATTAAAAAAAAACAAAAACTTTGGCTCATGTCTATCCCCAGGCAGAATTTGGGAACCACTGGTCTAGTCACTTTAGTATTTGTCTCCATTTTCTCCTCACTAGCTCATTTCACACACCATTTCACAATTAATATTATAATTGTTTTGTTTATCTTCCTGGCAGTTTGACAGATATCTTGTAGGTATACATTGAAATGAATGAAGCTATTGTATTGTACTGCTTCTAGTTGTGTTTAACTTAAATTCATCTAGACAAGAGTGATTTTGCTTTTTTATTATTGTTTGGTTAACCATGACCAGGTATCTATTGGCTTTGATATCTAGGAATATTTGCAGTTAACATTTCCTTCTTTTTCTCTTCCCTCAGATGAATAATGTTTTGAGACAGATGTCATATGGAGGGAAATTTGGTTCTCCACATCTGGATCAGTCAGGATTTTCCCCATCAGTTCAGTCACATAATCATACTTTTAACCAGTCTTCAAGCTCCCAGTGGCGCCAAGATGCACCATCATCACAGCGTAAAGTCAGACAGAATTCTCATCCCTATCTAGTGGATAGACATTATAGCCGTGAGCAGCGTTACCCTGATCATGGGTCCGACCATCATTACAGGGGAAGCAGAGATGATTTCTTCTATGAAGACAGGAGTCATGATGGCTGGAGCCATGACTATGATAGCAGAAGAGACAGCAGTAGAGATGGAAAATGGCGCTCACCTCGACACTAACAAGTGTTAAAGGATGTTTTATAAAGTCTATTCTAGGCCCTTTTTGTTAAGTTGGTCTGGGAATATTTTGTTAAAAAACTGTGTAGAGCAGCTTTACAAGTTGCCACATTTCTTTATAAAATTTTAAAAACCTAATAGCTGTCCAATACAGAAATGAGAAGAATTGTGGTTCTAATTTTATTACATTAATGACCTTTCACCTCAGGGTTTTAAGAAGAGGAAAGGGTTTTATGCAAAAGAAAGTTCCACAATTCCTAATCATTTTAGACAGTTGAGGAAAGGATGTATTATATGAATTAGTTGTACTATGAAGCAGATATTTTAATTATTTGTTACCTTTTTGTATTGCAAGAAGTTTCTTGTTAGGGAACCAGATTTTGGTGTATATAATGGAAAACATTCAAGTTGATGATCTGAAATGATTCAGTATTTTGTTAATAAATGAGAAAATGTAATTTCAGTGATTCATTTTACTAACATTTGAGAAACTTGGTTAAGTGTGGGGATAAATCACACTGTTTAACTTCTTAGAGAGCTTAAGTGTAAGTTCTGTGACATGTTCTTGAGTTTAACCCTAACTGATCATACAAATATAAATCTGCACATGCTGTTTCATTATGAAAGTTTAGAATTTTCTCATTAAATCATGTTTGATGTACGACTGAAGTCACTCAGGAAGTTAAATATCTCAAGTGTTTATTTTTACAGTAGAAGTACAGTGTTACTGTAAATCCCCCCTTGCAGGAAAAACAAAAATGTAAATGCATAGTCAGATAAAATGGTAAAATGTTTTACTGAAAGTAATACTTTTTTTTTGAAAAAAAAAAAAAAAGGTTCATTAAACCTTAAAGTGCTGCCTCTATCACTCAGACTTTTAAAATTTTAACATTTTCAAAGTGCCCGGGATGTGTACAGGACACATTTTATAATGGAAATTGTACAGGTTGCTTTTTTTGTTTTTGTTTGATCATTTGAAAGGATTTAATCTTTAAAAATTTCTGATTTAAAAAATTTTAAATCCTGTTTAACAAAACTTTTATGATTGAGATGCTGTTTCCCTTTCATTGTAGAACTTGTTTATAAAAATTCATTCCGTAAAATTTGGATCCTTTTTAATGTTAACCACAACATTTGTACTATGTTGCTTTTTAATATATTGAAAACAAAAAGAAGGAGGGGTGTGTCTTAATTTTTTTGACATCACTAACTTTAGAGACATTGTACACAGAAAGTAACGTACTTTGATTCAGTGATTGCCTGGTGTTGAGAATGTTAGTTCTGGGGAGAGAGTATAGCTCAAGTGGTAAAGTGCATGCTAAACACGCAGAAGGGTCCTGGGTTCAATCCTCAGTGCGTCCATTAAAAAAGAGAAATCAAAACTTAATTACCTCTCCCTAAGACCAAAATAATTAAATAATATAATAATAAGTTAGCAACAAAAAAGAATGTCAGTCCTTAGAGCATCCTGAAATACACTTGTACATATCAAACTATTTTAGAATTAGATTTCCAGTGACACATGGATTATGGTTCTGAGCACTGTAAACTAGCTTAATTAATCTCCCTGGTCTCTAGGAGTTTGTATAGTTCGCTTTCTCTCTCTCTCTCTTTATACATTCAGCTTTTCTGTGTCCAGGTAAATGGAGCTCTCCATTTACTTAGCACAGAGCATTAAGATCAAAAGATTCTGTTTGCTTAAGCAGTTAAATAGTAGAAGGATTTGTTGCCTATGAACCTGTTATTTTCAGGTGTCTTACCTATATGAAAAATTATTCATCAGCGTCTGCAGATATTAACAAAAGATTAATAGTGCTTTATTGCAACTTCTCTGTGAGTCAGATCTGTTCATGCTGATTCACAGGTGCCCCTGGTTCAGAATACTCTTTTTTAAATGGCTTTTGGGACACTGTGAGGTTCTAGTCAATCTTTTTCACTTTAGTCTCACTCAGTTGAAAGTAACCACACTAAATAAATGTACTGTGTAAAGGGATAGAACAAGACAGCCACAAATAATTAAATATAGCTGGTGAGACAATTCACCAAGGTACTGAGAACTGCAGGAGTAGAAGGAGATCGTTTTTATGGGGTGGAGTTTCTCCCAGAGTGTTCCAGTAACACTGCTCGCACAAAGTGTTCTGCAAACTAACAGGGTTCTGTAAGCAAATATTTGGTAAACGTGCTGTGGAACACTGACTTTCTCTTAGTGACAAAGAACAGCAGCATAGAGCTTCTGACAAGTGCCGCAGTAAAGAATGTTTATACCTGACGGTACTTTTCCAACTTAACTTGACCTTCTTTTCACCCGTTTTTATAGAACACATTAAGATTCCCCCAAAGAATCTTTGACTCCACCCTTCTCTATGCAGTCAATCAATCAAAATTTTATACTATTTCTAATTATGTTGTGTAGGCCCGTGTTCTTTGTGCCAACTGCCACCATCCTAAAATGGGTAGTCATCTCAACAGGATTATTCCAACAGCACCCTAATGTGTAAGTCCCAATTTATGTATTCCTACAGTACCCTGTATCTCTTTATATTGAATTGATTTTCCCTTTATTTGTATCTCTAGACAGCTCCATGAAGGCAGGGCCCGTATCTTTGTCACTATTGAGTTCCCATATCCAGTGCCTGGCTTATATATATATAATACTTGGTAAATTTTTTGATGAATGAATGAATATTTGGCAAATAATTGAATTTAAAAAGGCTTCAACATAGAAAACTTTTTTGGAATAAATTTCCTAACACTGAACCATCGTTGCATCATATGGAAACTATGTCTCACAGTGTACTGTGCCTTTAATGCACTCTGGGTTTTGTTTTGCAAATTTTTAAGTTTTGGATCTGTATTCATGAGGTTTTCTTAAAATGATTGTTTATCTTAGTTTAATTTTGGAATGATAGTTCTGCTAGTTTTGTAGAATGAAATGGTAAGCTTATCTTTTTGTCTGTTTTGGAAAAAATTTGAATAATATAGGAATCACCTATTTAAGACTTGTTAAACTCATTTATAAAACTATTTGGTCTTAGAAGTAACCAGTTCACTTTCCCAATTTCTTTTATGGTTATTGATCTATTCAAATGTTCTACTTTCTCAAGAGTCGACTGGGATAATTTGTATATTTATTTTAAAAATCAGCACTTTGTCTTTTCAAATTTATGGGAATAGAGTTGTACATAGTAAGAAATTGTTTTGATATTTCTTCTAGTGCAGGCTTGTTGGTGATAAACACTTTTAGCTTTTGTCTGTCTGAAGAAGTCTCTTTCACCTTCATTTTTAAAATATGTTTTTACTGGGTATAGAATTCTAAGTTGACAGTTGTTTTTTTCTTCTTTTTTTTCCCCTTTGAGTACAGGCATACCTTGGAGATACTGTGGGTTCAGTTCTAGATCACCACTAAAAACTGAATATTGCAGTAAGCAAGCCACACAGATATTTTGGTTTCCCAATGCATATAAAAGTAAAGTATGGGGGGAGGGTATAGCTCAGTGGTAGAGTGTGTGCCTAGCATGCAGGAGGTCCTGGGTTCAATCCCCAGTACTGCCATTTAAAAAATATAAATAAATAAACAAACCCAATTACATCCCCCACCAAAAAAAATTACACTATACTGTATTCTATTAAGTGTGCAATAGCATTATGTTTAAAAAAAAAACCCAATGTACATATGTTAATTAAAAAATCATTTATTGCTAAAAATGCTAATCATCTGCATCTTCAGCAAGTTATAATCTTTTTGCAGGTGGAGGGTCTTGCTTCGATGTTGATGACTGCTGACTTATCATGGTGGTGGTTGCTGAAGGTTGAAATGGCTGTGGCAATTTCTGAAAAATAAGCCAACAGTGAAGTTTTCTGCAGTGATTGACTTTTCCTTTCACAAATGATTTCTCTGCAGCACGTAATGCTACTTGATAGCATTTTACCCACAGTGGAGTGTCTTTCAAAATTGAAGTCAATCCTTGGACACCCTGTTATTGCTTTATCAGCTAAGTTTATGCAACATTTTAAGTCCTTTGTTAGCATTTTAACAATCTTTAAGCATCTTCACCAGGATTAGATTCTATCTCAAGAAGCCACTTCCTTTGCTCATCCATAAAAAGCAACTCCTCATCTGTGAAAGTTTTATCATGAGATTACAGCAATTCAGTCACATCTTCAGTCCCCATTTCTTCTTTTTTAAATTAAAAAAATTTATGCAATTTTTATACAGTTTTTAAATTTTATACTCCTTTTAAAGTTATTACAAAATGGTGGCTCTACTCCCTGTGTTATACAATACATCCTTGAGCCCATCTTACACCCAATAGTTTTTACCTCCCACTCCCCCACCTCTTATTTGCCTGCCACTGGTAACCACTAGTTTGTTCTCTTTATCTGTGAGTGCTTCTTTTTTTGTTTTATTCCCTAGTTGTATTTTTAAAATTCCACATATAAGTGATATACAGTATTTATCTTTCTCTGACATTTCACTTAGGATAAGGCCCCCCAGGTCCATCCATGTTGCTGCAAATGGCAGAATTTCATTCTTGTTATGGCTGGATATTATTCAATCGTGTGTGTATGTCTATATATATATATATATATATATATATATACACATCTTCTTTATCCATTCATCTGTTGATGGACACATGCTCCACTTCTAGTTTTAGTTCTCTTGCAATTTTGACCACGTTTGCCATTAATTTCTCCACTAAAGTCTTGAACTCCTCAAGGTCATCCATAAGAGTTAGAATCAACGTCTTTCAAAACTCCTGTTGATGATAATTTGAACTGTTCCCATGAATCGTGAATGTTATTAATGGCATCTAGATTGGTGAAGCTTTTCTGCAAGGTTTTTAGTTTACTTTGCCCAGATCCATCAGTGGAATCACAATATCTATGGCAGCTATAATCTTATGAAATGTATTTCTTAAATAATAAGACTTGAAAGTGGAAATTAATCCTTGATCCATGGACTGCAGACTGTGTTAGCAGGCATGAAAGCAACATTAATCTCGCCCATCTCCATCAGAACTCTTGGGTGACCAGGTGCATTGTCAACTAGCAGTAATATTTTGAAAGGAATCCTGCCCGCCCCCCACCCCCGAGCAGAGAGGCCTCAACAGTGAACTTAAAATATTCAGTAAACCATGTTATAAACAGATGCGCTATCATCCAGGCTATGCTGTTCCACTTACAGAGCACAGGCAGAATAGATGTAGCATCATTCTTAAGGGCCTTAGAATTTTCAGAATGGTAAATAGGCACTGGCTTCAATTTCAAGTCTCTAGGTGCATCAGCTCCTAACAGGAGAGTCAGCCTGTGTTTTGAAGTTTTGAAGCCAGGCTTTGACTATCGCTCTCAAGCTATGAAATTCCTAGATGACATCTTCTTCCAGTATAAGGCTGTGTCATTTACACTGAAGGTGTAGACACCCTTAGTAAGTAACTTAGCTAGAACCTCTGGGTGACTTGCTGTAACTTCTACAGCAGCACTGCTGCTTCACCTTGTACTTTTACGGAGACGGCTTCTTTCCTTAAACCTCTCCTTAAACTTCATGAACCAACCTCTACTGGCTTCATTCTTGTCTTCTGCAGCTTCCTCACCTCTCTCAGCCTTCAGGGAATTGAAGAGAGTTAGAGCCTTGCTCCGGATTAGGCTGCGGCATAAGGGCTGGTTTGGTCTATCCCGTCCACTAAAACTGTCTCCCACGTCAGCACTAAGGCTGTTTTGCTTTCGTAGCATTCATGTGTTCATTGGAGTAGCACTTTTAATTTTCTTTAAGAACTTTTCCTATGTATTCACAACTTGGGTGCCTGGTACAAGAGGCCTTGCGTCCAGCCTATCCCAGCTTTAGACATGCCTTCCTCACCAGGCTTAATCATTTCTAACCTATGAGTTAAAGTGAGAGATGTTTGACACTTCCTTTCGCTTGATCACTCAGAGGACATTGTAGGGTTATTAACTGGCCTAATTTCAATATTGTTATATCTTGAGGAATCGAGAGGCCTGAGGGAAGAGAGAGACAGACTGTGGAATGGCTGGTAAGTGAAGCAGTTGAAACATGCAAATTTATTGATTACATTTGCCATCTTATATGGGCACAGTTTGTGACACCCCAAAATAATTATAATAGTAACATCAAAGATCACTAATTATGGATCACCATAACAAACATAATAATTTT